TTGAGTTTTCAGCACTTGAACTGAAACTCTGGAAAATGAAAATGAGAGATCGAATATTGGTTTCAATCTGAATTTTATTAAATTAAATTTTTCCTTAAATACTAAATTATTACAAATTATTACAATAACAATATCTAAATTTTATTCTTTTCCTTTACCGTCTTCTTGCCTAAAGTGCAAGCTCAGCATATATTATGCAACCAAATTCTTTGTTGTGTCTAGCAACCAAGAATTAATGCCAATGCACTGGCCTTGATATATGTTACATATTCAAAGTTCAGTGCCACTGCACTTAACAAAAAATATAATGCAAATATTCAAGTTCAGTGCCACTGCATTTTACCAAATTAAATAATGCAAAGGAAAGTCAAAATTTGGATATTGCTAACATCAGCATATATGTTCAAATTTTACAAATATTGTACAATAATAACAATAGTAATAATAATAATATTTTACAATAATAATAATGTGTGAACACTATTGTAATTTGTAAAATGATTGGATCTAGAACTATCTACAAATGCATCTAGATTGCATTTAGAACTCACATAATAATAGAATAATACATCTTAGGTAATTTTAAATTTTATAGATTGAAGAAATCATATAGGTATCTTTATGTATCTGTATAATATAGAACAATATGTAGATGTCAAAAGAGACTTTTATTCTAGTAGAAAGAAGTATGCAAAATATATTGAATAAAATTTTGAAAAATTCTTATAGTCATTAAGAGAAACATTTATTTTTGAAAACCTTTTTTCAATTTTTATATTTATTTCTTAATTTGTATTATTAGTTGATGAAGAATAACACTTTCTTTAAGAATCTTTTTATGCAATCAGTTTATCTACATTAGAAGGAAATATTTCATGATTCAACAAAATTAACCTTATTCTGTACATGTCTTCAGCATTTTTCTTAGTAGATAGAGTTAAATTAAATTGTGGTTACACCAATCAAAAGCAACTTCCGTCGTCAACAAGAGTCGAATTTTGCGGCTGCTGAGCGTTCTTTAACAGGCATAAGTCAAAATATCAAGAGGACAAAAAACAAAAATACAAAAAACCTGGTGGAGACATGGAAAGCTGACATGGAAGCTGCGAACAAAAAGCGTTCCTTAGTTAATACAGAAATTAAATGCGCACCGATAGAGCCATGGTAACGTGTTCTGCTGGCTCCGAAAAATCGCTGGAATGAAACATGTGTTTCCACAAAAAGCGTAAAATGCCTTTGGGAATTCATTTTGTCAGTGACATGCACTAATTGTCTGTCAAGACCGTGTTACTTTTCGAACTTTATATCGTAGTGCGGCACATTTAATAATAAAATTCATATCAGCCACGCAAAAAGCCTGCCTACCGCTTTGAGATAATATTTGGGAAATGAAAATCTTTGTGACGTTTCAACCTCCCAACACAATTTGAGCGAGGATGAAACTGTTGCTGCTGCTAAAAGATTACATATAATTACTATTTTTCCTTTTACACTTCTTTATGTTTTAACACTGTTTCCACAGTTTTCATTAAACAAAACATTTGCAACACTTAAGCGTCCCTTCCGGAAAACTTTACCTGTTCCATATGTATCAAAATATTGATTCGTTTTCTGCTTCTTGCCAAGAATTCTATTGTTTTGCATTAGCTTTGGTAGTCTTTATCCCTAATTAATCAGATTATTTTCAACTTCCTTTGTATGAAAACGTAACCAAGGGAATTTTAAAGTTGAAATAGGAACTTAAAATTCAAAGTAACTTATGTTATTCAATGAAATCAAATAGATACCTAAGAATATTTCATCAACTACAAAGCCTTATACAAATAACAATTGATCTTGACATTCCATAAAGTTAACACTTTTAAACCTATAATCGACACTATATATGA